CTGTGAGTCAGAAATGACTTAACAGCACACAACCAACAACAACCAGAGTTATTTAGGCAAGAGATAAAGAGATCCATAATGTGAGTGTTGCCTCTATGGAGTTGAGATCTGAGTCATGCAGTGAAGCAAAGCAAAGTCTGATAAACAGGAAGTAGATGAAATGCTGCTTAAAGTGCAAGGACTCTCTCCTACTTAAAAGCGCAATCATATTGGACAGCAATGACATACATGCTTAGAAGAGCTCACATACAAAATGAGTAATTATCCACAGGAATGTCTTAGAAGGAAGTTTTTCGTTCATTTTTCATTCAATTGGGTTGCATGATTTTAAGGTTTCTTCCAACTTAAGAATCTTTCATTCTGTCATTCTCTTAGTCTACCACCAGCAGTTTCTGTCAGTTGGTTTCAACACGGTGACCATATGTGTGTCATAGTAGTATTGTGCACCACAGGATTTTCAGTGGCTGATTTTTAAGAAGTAGATCACCAGGATTTTCTTTTGAGGAACCTTAACATAGACTCAGTTTTCTAACATTTTGATTATTACCCAAGTTTGTTAACTGTTTGCCCCATTCAGGGCCCCCAAAGTATCTTAATAGCAGTTGTTATTAAGAGCCGTTGAGTCAGTTGTAACTCATAGCAACCCAGTATAGGGTTTCCAAAGAGTCGCTGGTCAGTTTGAATCACTAAGTACTTATCCACTAGTGTCATATCAGGACTCCTATTAGCAGTAGTATATAGCATATGATCATAGTTCATCAAACCACTTCAAATATTGTTTCTTTCTTTACCCACCCTCAACTCCACTTTATTAGATGTAACCCTCATCCACGTTTTCCAAATAACTGAAGACAAATAGCCCTTCTACTAAGATTCCCTAGAGTACTTACCCCAATTTGTGCAGGTTACATTGTGGATGCTTTACTTTTTCACATAAAATTCCAACTCCAGAATCTCCCAGGGCGTTTTCCCCCACATAGAGTCTGGTCAGAGACTGGTTGGTGCTCAGGACTGATGCAAGATCCGGACAGCAGTCTGATGTGAGACAGCAGCTGACCAGCCTTCCATAGAGATGACAAGTGTCACAATCACACACCTCTCTCCTCACTTTCCACTTTCAGCTAAGGAGGCTCAGACCTGCTTCAGCCTCTAGTCTAGTCCATACATGAATAGGGAGTGGATCCAAACTCTATATTAACTTTTCAAAAAAAAAAAAAAA